GCGAACGGCGTCGGCGGGACGGTCTCGGCGGCGTCGCTCTCCTGGGGAAGGCCGGGGCCCGAAGCGGCCGACAGCCCCCTCGCGCAATCGTGGGACGTCGCCATCGGCGCAGACGTCACGTGCGCCGCCGCCCTCGCCGCCGCTCGCCGCCGCCACTCTCGCCGCCGTCGCCCACGCCGCCGCCGCCCACGCCGCCCACGCCGCCGCCGCTCGCCCTTGTAGGTACAATCGCGACGCGTGGCCGGTGCTCTTTGAGACCATCGAGGCGGCGAGGGTACCGTGCCTGCTCTCGGCGAGCGAGCGGCGGCCGAATGAGCTCGCCAGCCTGCAGGACGCGACTAGACGAGCCGAGAGAGAAGGCTCCTCGCCTCTAGCCATAGAAGGGTGATGGGAGCGCCCCGCCCTGCGGCCTCACTGCAGCGGGATCCTGGCGGGTCTGACAGTGCACTAACCCCGTTGCACTAACCCCGTCGTCGACGTCGCCCCTCTGGTCCCTCTTGCAGGACGCGATGCGCAAGGCCGGGCTCGCGTTCGAGCTCGTCGACTCGCCGATGCGCAACGGCTACGGCGCCGACAAGGTGAAGCTCTTCTGGGTGAGGGGCCCGCAGGCCCCGACCCAAGAAGGCGCCGGCAAAGGGAGGGAAGGCATCCTTAGTGTCACAGGTGTGTGATCCGCGCGCCCGCGCGCGCTCGCGCCGCTGCTTATTTATTTTTAAAATTTTTATTTCCAAGGCCGCTCTTTTTCCGAACAAGGGAAAACGAGACCGCCCAAAACGAGCGCTCAGCGGCGCTGAGAAGGCGAGAAGGTGCCGCGAGGACGAGACCGCCCAAATAACGTAAACGACTACGAGCGCTCAGAGCTCCGCTGGGAGAAAGAAGGCGAGAAGCTTAGGGGACCCCTAGGCTTAAAAGGGTGGGCCCTGGGGCGAGCTGCTGGGCCGCCAATTCCTTAAACGGTCTTAAACGCTTAAAAGGTGCGGGGAGAGGCGGCTCACCCTTGCGCTGCTCATTTTCTCCGGCCGCCGATGTTGTTGTGAGATCAGGGTGGCAAGGTCATCTCAGGCGTGGAAATAAATAAATAAATAAAACGGACACCTCTACTAGGAGATGGGTAAAAAGGAACAGGTCCCCGCCCTGCGGTCTTTGTGCAGGGTTCTTTGTGGGTGTG